CTGTATATCTAATAAATTTACAGAGCAAATCACATAATACCATTGATTATTTACGAACATGGCAAAGTATCTAAATAATAATTTATATTAATTTAGTAATTCGATATTCAAGATCAAATGGCATTTTATATAAATGCACAACTCGATTTTTAAATTAATACTCGTATGTTCAATCAAAAGTCCACGGATTTATATGTTCTTTATTTTCAGTGATATTCTCTGTTCTAAAAATTCTAGTTAACTGTAAAATCAAAACCAAAGCGGAAAACTGAAACGGAATTAGAAGCGTTAGTGTTTTGACATTGGTTTAATTGCAATATGTACCGAAGTCCCAAAAGCGACTGTCTTTCATATTGTGAACAAATTATAAATGCTAAAATAAAAGTTTTTTTTCGGCGCTGTCACAATAATAACAATAAAATACTACAACAAATGAAAAGTTTATTTATTACATACCACAAATTTTTAGATAAACAGTGCGCACTAAATTTTTTTCGAGTAGTGCTAATACGAAGTGCAAGTGAAATACTAATGCGATTATGAATTTAACTAACACAACATGTAGTTGTGATATTAACCGTTTGAGTGCGGCACAAATTTTGTGGATATATGCCAAAAATGCGGTAGTACTTGGGTATATATAAAAAAAAACTCGCAAACGTAGTTAAATAATTAGATCATAAATATTGTATTTTTAAATAAAAAACATAAGAAATAGGGTTTATACATTTAAATTGTCTTTGATTTACTTCTTTGAAAACAATAAGAAAATTGAAATTTACAAATTTTCCTTGCAAGAATGGTTTGCTGCACAAAACGCATGAAGCCCTCTTTTACAAATAGAGCAAATTAGGTTTCGAGCTATAGAGCGGCGACTGCATAAATAATGGTTGTACGATAAAAAAAACAAAAAAAATGTTATATTGTACGAAAAAACTGTACATACCGCTAATGTAACCAAAATGATACAATAAATAGGAGCGCTATCACTGCAATTTTGGCATAAAGCAAAAGGAGCGCTATCGCGCTTCCCGCAGTTTTGGCATATAACAAGAGGAGCGCGAAAGCACTCAAACGGTTAATAAGTAATCTGCTTATTACACTAATAATCTAAACTTAATGGAAATTTCCTCATACAGCTGCAGAACAGATGGATGACGTAATCAAAGGAACGAATTAAAGGCAGAAAAATTAAAAAAATTTTGTACTCGAACTGAACTCGAACCAGTGACCTACGCTTTCTAGGCGGACGCTCTACCAACTGAGCTACAGAGTTATGAAGAAATTGCCGACGAAATGTTCTTGACGTTGCTTTACACTGTAATTCACATGATTACTAAGTATTTGTTTACATTCGGTTGCTACATGCAATCTACTATTTGAAACACACAATCACAAGAACATATATATAATACAAGTACATGTTGTATTAGTTAAACTCATAATATAATTAGTGTAATAGGCACAATACCTATTTAGCTAGTGCGATACTTTCGGAAACAGCCTTAATATACAAATGATTTTTAATATAAGTACATACAAATATTTTTTTTTTCTAGAAAAAAATTTCTGTATATCTTATTTCCCCTTCTAAATATTGTAACTACTCAAACTTCAAAATAAGACATTTCGTAACAATAAATCCTCACAATATAGTTATTTGACTTAACTGACATCAACCGCTAATGAATCTTTCATTTCTTATTCTCATCCAGAAAGTATACAATATATGAATCCAGAAAGTACAAATTATGTCAATACTTTACGAAAGTATAAATAACCAAATTTATATTTTAATATTTTTTTCGAAAGTTCAAAAGTTATGGCGACAAGGAAAATGAGTTACGCACCGGATAACGGTTAAAATTAAAATTTTAACAGCTTCCGTTTTGTATAATTGAAGTTTGAATAGATCTGCTTCAATGTATTGGTTTATGTAAAAATACCGTAGGTTTAATTAATGAAAGAATTTATTTATCTTGAATTTGGTTAATGAAAGTAATATTTACGTACCATTTTAAAATTGCGAAAATTTATTGTTAAAAGTTTCTTATTTTGAAGTTTGACTATTGTTATGATACTTAGAAGGGAAAGTCGGATATGCAGAAATTTTACAAAAAATAATATTAAGTATACTAGGTATATGTATCTAAAATAATGCTAAAATAATTCGCATGGTACTAATAACTTGCAAAACAAAAAATTTAAGATATTTATCGATTAATGAAAGTTAAAAATTCAGATAATTTAATCAATCATTTATCAAATTACAATTTTAAAATACATACTTATAAAATTTGATAGTCCGTGATTAAATAAGTGTTGTTCGCTATTTCGCTCTCAATAATAACTTCACTCAAAACAATAATACTAAGCCACTAGACTCAGTTACCAGTTCACAATAACAACAGTCTATATAATTATTTTGATATACTTACGTATACTAAAGTTAATTAAGAAATGGTTGCTATATAAGAATGTGTAAATATTTTCTGAAATTGTTGAAAAAGAAATCAATTTCAAATCAAAATTAAAAAAAATGGACATTAATAATTAATTTTCATTAATTTGTTCCTTCAATTTTTCTTTCCCATAATACGCACATATTGTAATACATAGTTGTTATTAAATCAGTATGTTGTAAGATAATTACACAATCAAACAGAAAATATTATTGATTAATTTTTAAATTTTCATAATGAGTAATAGCACTGTATAATGAAAATATTAATAAATTTTCCATTTATACTTTCATATGTACATATTTTGTACATTTTAATGATTTTCCTATAGCAAATATTTTTATACATTTTCTATTATTATTTCTTTATATCGTTTTAATATGAATTTTGAACTGAATAAACAAATTTTATTTTAATTTTATTTTATCGGATATTATTTTACTGACTACAATTGTCATAAGAGCCATTTCAAAAATAATCTACTCTCGATTATTATTAAAACAAATATTCCATTAAAGAAAACCACTTGAAAATTTCTACCACTTTTACGCCCGAGCATGAGAACCACAATACAATAACAAAAATTACAAAATGTGTAATATATTTTATGTTACATATATGTATGTATGATAATGTTATGCATGTGAATGCATGTATGTAGAAAAATATTCATTTAACAAAATTATAACATATAGCTGTGTTATGTTATGTACACATATATTTGCTCGTAATGCAAATATTTACTGTGATATGTATATATATATTTTATAAACACAAACAAATAACTTTTATAAGAACCGTTATATGCATTAAGTAACCTTAAAAAAATGTTTATATTAAAATTTGTGTTTTTTTTTATTTTTAGCATGAGATATTTGGTCACCGCCGCAATACTTTTATTATAAAATTAATATGTTAACACATTTACATATGTATGAATACCATACATGTATTGGCTTTATTGTTATGACAGTCTAGTTTGTAAAACAATTATATTAAAAACAAACTAATAAACCTTAAAATTAGTAAAAAATTTGTATACTGCTTAAACCTGAAATTCACATGTTACATATGTACATACATATATGTATATACTTGTATACAAATGTTAACAAAGATTTTATAACTCAATTTAAAAGACATTATTCCAATATTAAAAATATCAGCAAAATAAATACAAATAACCTTAAAAATTTATTATAAAAGAAAAAACTTCAGAAGGCTCGTCACCTACCTAATAAATTTCAATGAAGCAAGAAAGTGGTTCATGATTATCTACAGTATCATGCACCAGCCCTATGCTTCTCCCAGGAAGAAAGTACAATAAAAACAAAGTTTTAAGTGATTTAGCACATAACCGACCGCAATAGGTATTATCTAGTTAAGGTAAAGTGTTACAGAATATTATAAAAATGAATTTCAAACATCCGAATTTCCTGAAATGCTCACCAGAACTCAAATATCAAATTTCAAAATATTTCTTCCATTAGTTCCATAGATATGATATAAAATGTAAATTGTGCCCCTAGTTTGGTTTCAAAGTCCCGATCGTTTCAAAAAATTTATATGACTATTTTTTTGACACTCCAAATTTAAATATTAAATTTCAAGGAAATTAATTGATTATTTCTCTTTATATAAAAATTTGCCCGAAAAAAAGTTTAGTTCCCAAGGCCTTGATCAATCCGTGAAAAAAAAATTTAATAAAAAACAGTTCAGCCGAACTTGAGACACACGCGTGCGCACACAGACTGACAGATTGCTAAAAATAGTTTATCTACACTTCCCTATATAATGTAGAGATGCGTTCACACCGAAAACTTGATATGCCAAATTTTTTGCCATCACATTATTTCCCTTACAATAGTATGCCGTGAGTATTGGAGCATTGCCCTAGAAAAAAGAGCAGTACTCCATGTGAGTGTGATTGCCGTGAGTAAGTTTTTTAATTTTAGAATTTATTTCATTCAGAAAAGCCAGGTTTTAAAATTTTTTTTACAGTTAATAATTCGACTTAACCCAGGTGTATTTGAAAAACGGTTTTTAATCGTACAAATTTAGATTCACGAGATTTTTAAACCACTCGCCCAGCCATCATGCCTTCACGGTAAATAAATTTTTCACAGACCACATTAAAGCCGTTTTATGTATACAGCTACATACAATGATGTTACAAACACATGTTATGAAAACCATGTTATTAATTTTATGTGAAATACACGTTTTCTCTAGGTCTGCATATCCTTTTTATCCACTGTCGGTTTTTTAAATATATTAATTTTCCCCTTAGCACGTTAAATTAATAAAGATAATTTCATTTCATTTGACCTCATTTAATAAATAAAATGTAATTTGCTTTTGAATATAGTTTATTTAGGATATACTGTCACTTACCTAAGAAAAAAGTGCTTAATTAAAGGCAAGGTTAAAACTTAATTATTATAAAAAAAAAGAATATTTTGTTATACGAATTAAAGAGAAATGAAAAATACTTAATCCATAAGTGTTTAACTAAAGAAAATTATTACGTTTACCCACCTGTTAGATTTTTTCTCCGTATTTTAATTTTTTCCTTTTCTCTTTATATTTTTAGAAAAGCCGCCTTATATAGTTTTTAAGCGTTTCTATTTACAAATTCTTATTTATTTTTTCTTTTTTTCCTTTTATTAAAATTGTAGTTGTTGTATTACTCTCTTTTTTCTTCTTCGTATTTTTATAACATTTTCCTGTTATTTCTTATTTTTGCTGTTATACTATAAATTTTAATAATAATAATTCGTTTCGATGTAATTTAACATGGTTTTATTCCAACGGTAATTCAATTTTATTTATAAATAAAGAACTCTAAATAAATAGATTCTTGTATGTATGTAGGTAGGTATTTACCAGAATTTAATACAATATGCGTGCGAATATGTAACGCCTGTAATATGTGAATATAATATGTAAGTATAATAAACCTACAGGTTTTATAGGTTAATAATTAAACTTTCTTCTTTTAATACAATAAAGTCTCATATGTTTATAAAAATAAGTAAGTAAATAAAGATATACATCTAGACATTCCTTTATCTTTGCTAAACTTAAGTAAAAAAAATGAATGGCAAAAAAAAACAAGCAGTAGCGGTGGTAAAAACAATCTTACAATAACACCAGAAGTAATGGTAAAGATAAAACCGAATTTAATACCTTGTATAACAATATAGTAATACAAAAAATATTTATTATTGCAGGCATATTATGCACATATGGATGTGTGCGTGTATATTATACAAAAGATTGCTATTATAAGAAATACGTAACAGAATATTAAAAATGTTATATTTCAAAAACCCGTTATATTTATACCTATCAGTGGAAGACAATACATAAGTATGTACATAAGTACGTAGGTATGTGTTTATGCCCATGGTTACTTTATTCTTCAGTTATTATATTTTTTTTAACATACTTCAGCTTTTAATAAAATTATTTTCTCTCTTATTTTAACATGATTTTCTCTCTTCTTTCCTTAGCTTTATTTTTTTACATATTTAATTGTACCGTAGTAAATTTAAAAGCGGCAGTAAAATCTTCTATTCTGAAAAAGGTGTTATACAGGTATTCTTCTGTTATATTATTATTTCCAAATAAGTATATTATTGCCATAAGTAAATATTTTCTTTTATAACTATGGATAAGTGTATGGATTATGTACATACATAACTACGTGAGTATTATTGAGCATTTTACGTTTCGTATGCTCTCTTTAATAACCGATTACGGTGACGGCGATTTTTTATACTTTTTCGTTTTGTCTTTTTTTATAAAGTTTTTTTACTGTCTTTTCGAGTCGTGATTTTATTTTTTAATATAAGTATCAACCTTTTTTTTTGTAATATAACAAAATATTAATACCTTTTACTAATGTACATACATATGTACATTTATAATGAATGGGTATTATTTATATATATGTAAGTGTTAGTGTTAATGACAAAATTCTTTCTGTTAATTTTTAAATTATATTTTGTATTATGCATAGTTTTTTGTTAATAATGAAATTTAAATTCTAACTATCTGATACAAAGTGGAATTTATTATTTATAACTTATATTTTTATTCTTTATTTTTTTATAAGAATAAAATTTGATTTCCTTCCTTTTTTTAAATAAATAATAAAATAATTACAAAACTATAAACAAAATTCCTATAGACATAATAATTTGAAAGTCATATACCTAAACTAAAAGAAAAAACAAGATTAATGGAATGTCTGCTTTAATACCTACATGTATACATATATGTATGTACGTACATAGTTGTATAACAATTAAGGTAAATACACCCAGTTATTAGGTAAAACTGACGTCTGTTATTTTAATATAATAGTAATAAAATAACCTATACATACATAGGTACCTATATGCATGTAAATTACATTCGTAAATTAATATTAGGTTTTATTTTATTATTAATACTTATTTTTTTTCTTGTTCTCTATTTAATTTATTCTTTTGTATCACCTTTTCATTAACATCAACATCATATACTATATAATCATAATCAATACCATTCACAATATCATCATATTTGCACTTGAAATTCTGAATTAAAATTCTCTTTTTTCCTTTTTGTTTTTATTTATTTTTTGACTTTTTTATGCTTACTCTTTCTCTTTTTATTTTGTTGAGTGGTGGGGACGACAGGCTTTTCTTAATTTTTCTTTTGTTTTATTTTTTTTTTTCATAAAATTGGCACTTTAAACATTTCTTAATTCAGAAGAAAAAAAAGAAAACTGAGATTTAAATAATTAAAATTTAATATTTTTAATTAAAAAATCAAATTTTAATTTTAAATAAATTTTCTATTATGTACAAAAATTAATTAATCTTTTTTTTTGTTTTAATCTGTAAATTTTAAGTATACTAGATGCACAAAACACAAAAATTACGATATTTAATAATTTACTCTTTTTTTCTACATAAAATTATTTTTTTTTTGTTTAGAAATAAAAAAATTCCAACAGTTTCATCCGCGTAATCTCGAGAATCTGAGCACCAACAAAGCAATAATAATACTATAGTACCAGGCCGATGGTAGATGAATTGACAACAGATACTTATTTTTTTCCTTTTTTTTTTCTTTATGCTGTTATAGGTATGCAAAAGCAAAAAAAAATCAAGAAAATATTATAATAACACATTGTTATACGAATTTGAATGTGTTAGTAAGTTGTATATTTTAATGAGAAACTGAAAAATATTTACCTATATAACGTAGAAGCAGAACTCATATATTTTTATAGGGCATAAGTAGGTAAAATCCAGTGTATATTAAAATCGCAACACAAATACCAAAGCAAAAATTGTTTTTTTTTTTTTTTTTTTAATGGAATGTTGAAATTTCTTTTTTTTTTGTTCACTCAAATATGGTGAAAGTTATTCAAGTTTTGTACAAGGTAAAATATTAACATATAGAGAAAAAATGGATGAAAGGCATTTTTAGTACAAAATGCAACAAATAAAAAAAAAGCTTTTAACAGAAAGTTCATATATTAATTTTTTTGTTTTCCAAACTAAATAATTAAAATTTGTAAATTTAATTAAAATAAAACAAGTATTTGATTCTACATACTTATATTTACATCCTTATGTTCGTAATATATTTTAAAAAAAACTTCTCTCACACCATTCTCATTTGAGATTTATACATACATACTTAAGTAGTTATATATGTGTACATATTAATTGTTTGAGTCAATAAAATTCGTGAAAAATCTCATTATTTAATTACAATTCGTTATTAATAAATCGCCAATTTTACTGACTTTTCTTATAAATTAATTAAAGCAATTAAATAAATTTAAAATTCCACCAGAACTCCATTTCAGAGCATAACCCCAACAATATCTGAAATAAAAGGTGAAACTACATAAAAATTTTATTTTATTTAAAAAGGGAAAATGAATGCAAACAATATTGGTAAATAAGAAAATTTCCATAAAACTGGTGCTAAGAACAGGCAAAAAATACAGTGACAGTCTCAGAAAAGAAATTAAGAAAGAAATTAGAAATCACTTTGATTCGTTAGGTTTATATAAGTAAACAAAACATTATGTGCATCCCAAAATCAAATATCTAAATCATTAATTTTACTTATATTAGTATGAAAAAGAAATTATTATACCAATTAATACAATCTCAATCGAAATGATACTTCCAATATAATTTCGAATTCAAAAGTACAAAAATCAAATAAATTCATTTCGACCTACATATATTTCAAAATAATACTAAAAATGTTTTCGTCTGGCAACTTTATTTCATCTCAAACTTTCAAAAAAATACATCAATGGATACGAGAGAGAAAATACAAAGAATATAACAGATAAACAAACCAATTAAAAAAAAATTAAACTAAGAAGGTAAAAAATAATTTCTAAGGCTACGCCAGACAAATCGTTGTTCCTAATAATTTTAAGATATGCTTGTATATTCTTCGTTAGTATTAAGTAACGGTACATATACTCAATTTGCATTGAGTTATGTAAAACCAAAAGGGAAAGCATTTTCATCCTCAGAATCGAATTCTAAGTTCAGCCTTGTTCAACAAAGTTACTCTCAACTGAAGTAGTTTTTTCATACAATATTTACTAAAAACATATTACTCTATTTAAAGACAACATTTAAAATTTTAAACATTTTATAATATTTTTAATTAAAATGTTTGTTTTTCCATATTATATAATTTAAAATTTTTATTAATTTCTTTAAATTATTTATTAATTCCTTTAAATTTTAATTATCTCTTTAATGACATTTTCAAATTTTGCTATTTGAACGAATAATAAAATTTACAATCTGCAATATTTAAAAGACATTGCGCTTTTTCCATGCATTTTTCAAACGAATATATGTACCTAGTTTTGAACTGTTTCAGGCACTACAGAGATTTTTGGATGTAAAAAGTTGCTCCAGGTTTCTAAAAGAAAAAGGGTGAAATTACGTATTTAGGCGATATACTTTGTATACATCTTAAAATAATATTGGTGTAGGTATTTTTCGAAAAACAATACGGTAAAACAATAACAACACTGGCATTATAAACTTGGATTATATTCGATTTGTCAATAGTTTATGAGTAACAATTGATACTGTACAATACACAATGTTAATAAAAGTATTTCAAATGGATTATATTTTATGTACATACATGTATGCATAATTAATTTTTTTTTCATTTTCCAAAATATTTTAACTAGAGAAATCGTAATGGACTATGTATAAATCTTTCTATTCATGTTAAATTTTTTTGTTTTCTAATTCTCTCAGAGAAACAGGTAATGCACGTGTATTGTAAATATATAACATAATATTATATTATATGGCGAATAATTCCAACATACACATGAAAGAATTTCTATGGTCAAATTACATTGTATAAACACAATTATTATACAATATAAACTGAAACAGAATATTTCATTGTATTTCATTAAATTCTCATAAGTCATACCGTTGACTTGCGCAAATTTTTCTCTCTTTTTTATTCTGTCTTGACTGTCTGGTGTTGAATTAGATTAGCGTTCATTTATATATTTATGTTTATCAAAGAAATTTGAAGTAAAACTTTTATGAATTGTATTGAATGTAATGTTTAAAAATTTTTCGCTCTTAATCTCAAACTCTCAATTTCTATTTCCATCTCTATCTATGAAATTTTTACTATCTATGAAATATAAATAAAATGTTTATATATGTATGTATATACAAAATTATGCTTTAGAGTAAGGGATGAAAATGACATTAAACTTGAACTGTGGTGAATTCCTTGCATAAAAAATTGGAAATTCTCTGAAATTATTTTTGAATGAAAATTTATTGATTTCTTTTTTTTTGGCAAATGATTCGTTCATTATAAAATCTCTTGGAAAAGGTGCACAGGCGTTCAAATACCAATAGAACATTCTCAATAATTAGTCCACAAATGATGTGTAAATTAAAAGAAATTTAATAAAGGAAATTTAACATTTTCTGTGTACGAAAAATAAGTTCATTACCAAATTTTGAAGATGTAAATAAGTTTGCGTACATTTTATATTTTAGACTAATTTCTGAAAATTGTTAAAAATAAAGATTTATTCAATTGCTTCGAAATACTCGAATGTTCAGATGCACATTGCTTACATTAGCTAATCAAACTTAAGCGCCATTAAATTAAAACTTCAAATTTTTGTATAAAATAACAGGACGCGTTTCAACATAATGCCGTATGAAGTTTTCTTTATACAACTTGAAACATTTTTCATTATAGAGTACACGTTGAATAATTCTAGCTAAAGCTATTTAGAATTTAGCTAAATAATACTGCCATTGATTACTTAAAAGTTGTAAGTTGTATATCTAAATAAAGAAGTACACAAATTTAATACATATTTATGAAAATTTTTAAGCTCAACTTGGTATCATATGGTGATTAAATACAAACATTTCAACTCCAATAGGTACATATGTATATATTTTATTTACCACTTTTATTAACCACTTAAAATGTGAAAGCTTAAAAAACTTTATAATTGTAAACACAATTTTAGAACAATTCTCTGTGCTAAAAAGAAAACACAACTTCTCTGTTAAGCTTTTTTATTATTTTAAATAAGCTTTCCCAAAATTATTATTAAAAGCCTGTGTATCATAAGCTTTTAATATCAGTTACAGTTTTTTTTTCAAATGTACATACACCTCTAAATTCAAACTAATATTATTAGGTAAAATAATCTTTAAAAAAATATCGAATCTAATTTTAAAACTCATTACAAATCTAATTTTAAAACTCTTTTCGTTTGATTGAAGAGTTTTTCAGCTAGTTTTTCATCTTCAGCTAATTCGCAAGGTCTTGTAATTTCACAGTCACTAAAAATGAGAATTTTTTTGGTTATTCGTAATTTTTTGACTATAGTGCTAATTTATTAGGTACTTAAAATATTCTCCTGTGGTGTTTTTCAATTTAGAATCTGTTGCTAAATAAATCGCAGTTTGTGCACCTTCAAATGGATTTTTCATAAATAGCCACATCCAAGGAAATGTTATAAGTTTAACACTAAGTGATGACATTATAGGTGAACTAAAAGGAAAATAAGGAAAATTTATTTTTAATAGTAAAAATTCCATGCAATAAATTATATAAATTGTAATGCAAATGTCATATACAATATGCAAAAAGACAAACAAAGTAAAACTAATATGTAGTATGTGCAAAGTAAAAACTATTAATTATGATTGTCGCTGAAATCCAAAATGAGGTGCTAATTACTAAAATAATAAAAATACTAATTTTGTTGAATCTGCGATCCATATTGCAAAATAAAAAATCTATGTAGCAATACCCAAACTCCTAAAAATGGATTTTACTGTGCAGTAGGACAGCGAACAGCGTAGTGAAAAAACCGAGACTACTTTTTTTACTGCAATGTCAAAACAGTGTTCTCGATGATTCAATCAAAAAAATGTGCCAGAAAACAAATATTCGTTGCGAGACTTAACGTTTTAATAACAAACCAAATTTGTTTGGTAATTAGTTTTTGAAATGTTTGGTAACAAAATTGTTCATTTGACATTCAGTTGGAGTTAAAGTTCTAAATACAAATTTAAAAAAAAAGTAAAATATTTATAGTGATTCAGAATGCTAAAACTACTTCGCATTTTTTCTACAACACAGTCGTTTTTGAAATTTTACTATGGTATTACCTCTGTAGTTAAATATTATAGAAAAACCATTTTCACTGCATTTTGGATGTTTTAAAAATAATATGTTCGACAGTGCGTACACTTCGCATACTTTCAATTTATATTTATAGATTTTTGTTCAGAGTTGAATTGTAAGTCGATTTACTGATATCCGTTAGACCGCCACTGTCGTTATGGTTTTTTTTAAGAACAAAAAGTATCATAGATCTGTTACAGGTCACAACAGATCAGCAATGCTTCATCTTACTGCACACAGTTTAGTGTTACAAAAATCAGGAACGGCTCATTGAAAAGGATCCAAATAAAAGTCTTAGGAAAAGCCTTGACCTAATATAGTGATCCAGCAGATTATTGGAAAGGTTTGCGAAATCCGTAAAATTTCTATTCGGTAGGTTTTTCGCTATAAAAACCCCAAAAAAGGGGTGCTAGGAAGGTCTTAAAATTTTGATGCAATCCAATTTTTCAGCATACTGGTGAAAAATTCTCGAGAATATTTACAACTTCTTTTCAGAAACATGTTTAAAAATAATTCGATGCGATTTAGATTTTCGGAAAAGGCTTTCAACTATTTGTCTTTGAAATTTTATATTTTAAGGAATTTCAAAACAACGTTAAGACTAAAAATTGATTTTTTTAGTTAATAAGCGTAAATGCACCAAGTTAATTTTCGAATTTTTCTATAATAAATTATTTTAACAACAATAATTATTCAAAATCAAATTTCTAATAAAATACAAAATCCGAATTTTAAATCATATGCTTTAAAACCAATTTATATAATTCGAAAATTTCTATTAGTTTTTTAATATTAAAAACTTTGTGTCATACATTTTAGAAGTTTCACAAATTTAACAAAAATCTTTAATGAAGCATTTAGGAAAAAAAATATTTTAGTTTATTGAACTTCCGCTAATCCTCAATAATTCAAAAAAATGTACGAGTTTATGTAATTTTGTTTAAGAATATATTCATGAATTTAGTATTTTCTATTAGTTTTGCAAGGAATATAAGATATTGCCTCGGAGCCATAAAAATGTTTAAATTAGAAAATCCTTCAATGAACACTTTAATATGCAACTTAAAATAGAATCAAAACCTTTTTTATTATTTATGTTTTAGACCCTACGTAAATTTGAAATATATTATTAGTAAATCATATTCTTTTGTGCTTACAATAACAAAAGGGTATACATAATCTTAAATTACAACATAACAATTATTGAAAAGGTTATTTACAACACTATTCTTAATACAGAATTTTAATTTACTTATACATACTTTTTCAAATGTCCTGTTCCTCTTACCAGCCCTGGTGTATATACATTAACCGTTACATTATATTCTGAAAAAAATGTAAAATAAGTAAATAGTTTGAGTATCTTAAAAAACAAATTGTCGGCACAAAACCAATGCTCCGTGAATTATTTCATTTCGTTTGATCAAGTAAAATAATTTTTTAAAAGATAAGATATTTTTATTGTCAGTTTTTTACATTTAAAGATATTTGAATACTTGAACTTTGCTAATTTTAAAAAGCGATAACTTGGGAAGGAAGCCAGTTTATTGAAAAGTTTTGTTCCTATTAAATAAGCCCTTGCTACAAACTATTAAAATCTTAAACTTCAATTGCTTATCATCTAAGATTCTTCCCTTATTATCCGACCACGTTCTTATTAAATCTAATTTTAACAAGCATTTGTTGCTTTATTGTTTACGTATGTTCTTTTAAAGAAAGCATTTTTTAGACATTTCAATGGTTATAACTTTCACAAAGAAGAAGGATTGTAAACCCATTTGTGAATAAAATTTCAATCAACTTCTGATCTTATAGAGGGTATAGTAGTTTCTATTTTAAATGTTGTAACACACATGTAACACGTGCGGACAAACAGAAAATAATATGCAACCCTTATTCGTTCAACCCTTAGAATTCGTTAAGCTTTTGACCTTAATGATTTTGGCTTGATTTTTTCATAATTTAGTTACAGTTTCTGTTATGCATTTTTTGCATAATTATCAAATATTCCGAATTATAATCAAAGTTATTAAAAGCCAAATATTGGGAACCTAAATCTGTGGAAATTGTATATAATATATCTATTTGTATATATTCAAAAATATATTTGGCTTCCATAAACTCATATGGAATTTAAAACAAAAATCTAATCATACATAAGATTTTCAAATAATTCAATTTTATCCCATTAATACTGCTATAAAGGTAAACCATTTTTGTAAATAGCTTCACACATGTAAATAAAATGTATATATGTATATAATTATTCTAGTATATTATGTATGCAATAGGTCTATTATGTGGGCATCATGAATACAAATACAAACACATCGCTTACAAATAACAATAAATAATACTTGTTAACACATTTATTTTTCATATAGAAAAACTCATAAATAATTCATTAAGAACATTTATATCCATCAGATACATAATGTAAGTATAAAGTAACTGTAAAATATATAAGTTTTCAAAATTTTCTGTATATAGAAAATATTATTATGTTGTAGCATAAAATCTCTATAGCTTTATGAATAGCTACCAAAATTCTCATACTTACACTATTAAGGCATGTATACGTATTCATATACAAACGCATAGCATTATTGTTTCATTATATTTTGTATATTATGCATATCTTATAATGATTTATAACCTGTCCCTATTATTATCCTATCGTTGATTCAATTGATCTGACATGGGATAAATTGTTAAGTGGTAAGAAGATATTTTGTACAGTATTCAGCAGCGGTTAGGATAAGAAGCAGCAATTGTTTATTGGGCATAATATCTTTATTACAAAGGTATAATTCTTATTTACAAAAAATATTATTAGTGTTAATAATGCATAGTATCACGTTTATGTTTTTAAACATAATCTTTAGGAAAACATTTGTCATATGCATAAATCTGTGGCCTTAAATTTATTTGGATTTAGTTATAAAAAACATTTGTTTTAACTTCATTCCAATCCATTTGATTTAATCTAAAGTTTTTAAAATAAAATATGTCAAAGTCAGAATTTTTGCATTTTTTTTTAATTTTTTTGGAAAACTAGAAATTTCTTGAAAATTTGTGTTATTATTTTTGGTTTTTTCGATGCGCTACAATGAGATCTAAAAAGCATATATCATTTTCTCCTAACGGACGGACGGAAACTTCTTTGAAATTTTTTTTTAATTTTTATGCAGTGCATAAAAAATGAATTCGCAATTAATTTTCTTTAAATGCATTTTCCTAATAAATTTAAAAAGTAATTTTCAGTACAGTACAAATGTTAGCCAATTTCGTTCAAACGAATAATTTCCCACACCCCTGGTAATTCTCATACAAAATTTGAAAATTAATTTTCATTTACCCTCTGAGCTTTGTGACCTAATAGAAATGCATTCATGGTAGTAATTTTCACATTTTATACTTGAATATTTTATAATTTTTAATACATTTTTCTTAAAAACTGAAAAGTAGAATTTCTGAAGCTGAAAAGTAGAAAAATTAAATTTTTATGTTTCTGTATATGATTTTCTAAATCTTTATAATAGTCAACAGTTTACCTTTTAATTCTTTAGCTAATTGTTTTGTTCCTAAAACAACAGCAAGTTTTGAGTGTGCAAAAGCATCACGTTGATGAAAATTAATTGCCCATGCACCAATATTTAATGGATCATCAAAATCAATTTTAGCTGAAGCATGTGCATGTGCTGATACATTAATAATACGTGCGAAATTAGGTGATTTTTTCAAATGAGGCAATAATAAATGTGTTAAAAGAAATGGTGATAAATAATTAACTTGTAAATGAATTTCAAAACCATCAGAAGTTTTTTCAACAGGATTAAAAATAATTCCAGCATTATTAATCAATACATCTATATGATCAAATTGCTCACAAATATTACGAGCAAAACTTTTAACACTATCAAATAATTGCAAATCTAAATACTTAATTTCAATTTTTACATCAGGATTTTGTTGTTGCGGTGTTCTTAACGCACATTTCACTTCACGTTGTAGAATTTCCTTTGTTTTCTCCGCCTTTTCAATGTTTTTACCAGCTATTATGATATGAGCATTACGTGCCAATAATGCTTTACATATTTCAAAGCCAATTCCAGAATAACCACCCGTAACAATTACAATTTGTTTGTCAATTAAATTTGTTGTTGGACAACGTTGTCCGCCCATTATACTTCTATTTTTTTATGTATACAAAGAAGAAAATGAAAAATTATAAATTTTTTAAGTTTTTTTTTCCTTTATTAATTTTTTATAAGAATCATTATAAAATAAAAAAAAATCTGATGTGGTCAGCACATAACCGACCGCATTGTGTATTGTCTACTTAATGAAAGTGTTACAGAATATTATAAAAATGTCTGTTAAATACTTCTTTCCAATTGTTACGACATTAGTAAGCTTATAGTTAACATACCTAGAAAAATGTAAATTTGGCTCTTAGTAGAGTTTCGCTTTGTTCTACCCGAATTCCCTGAAATGCTCGCCAGTTAGTTTCGGTAACAACCAGAACTCAAATATCAAATTTCAAGAAATTCCATCAATTCGTTCCGTAGATATGGTGAAAAATGTAAAATCGGCCCGCAGATCAGTTTTAGAGTCCTGATCTTTACAAAAAATTTACATGTTCATTGTTTTAATACGAATTCAAATATTAAATTTCAATGAAATCGGTTGATTATTTCTCTTTATATACACAAAAAATGAATATTTGGCCCGTAGTAAACGTCCAATTGCTGATGCCTGATTTATTCCAAAAGCTAGGAATTTTCAGGGACGGTCGAGAAAAGCTCATATATGAAATTTCAAGTAAATCGGTTCAATATTTTCTTCAAAATGGTGAAAAATGTAAAATCGGCCCGGCCCGCAAATCAGTTGTCGAGCCCTGATCTTTCCAAAAAATTTATATGTTCATTGCTTTAATATGAGGAATTCATATATTAAATTTCAATGAAATCGGTTGATTATTTCTCTTTATATACACAAAAGTGTATGTTTGGCCCGTAGTAAACGTCTAGTTGCTGACGCTTGATTTCTTCCAAAAGTTAGGAATTTTTGCGGACGGTCGAGCTGACCTTATATATAAAATTTCAAGTAAATCGGTTGAATATTTTTTTCAAAATGTTCAAAAATGTAAAACAGGCCCGCCAAAAAGTGCAGTTCCCGAGGCCTGATATATACCAAAAGTTGATCAATCCGTGCCATGGTGGAAATAAACTTACATGTTTCATCAAAATCGGTTCAGCCGAACCTGAGATACACGCGTGCACACACAGACCGACAGACCGACAGGTTGCTAAAAATAGTTTATTTACACTTCCCTACTATGGAGAAGTACGTTCCCACCGAAAACTCGATATGCAAAATTTGTTGCCATCACATAATCTACCTATTGTTTACACAATACGGTCGGTAAAAATACGTAGAATTATTAGACCATTAAAAGGAATGTTAAAAATAAATTAGTGAATAGTGATGATGGTGGTGTAATTTCATTTCACCATAATGGAATTTGAGAAAAATGTGCGTAAAAGAAATGTACTAAAGTAAATAATATTTAAAAAGACAAAACAAAAATTTAAAAAATTTCGGTTTTGAAAAGCGGGAACTGAACTCTAACTCTTGTATTATAATTTTTAACTTATGTGAAAAATCTAATAAATTTTGTTGTATGCTCAAAAAGGATTCGTTTTTTGATTGTACAGTGTAAAATTTGTCGAGCTTGAAGAATTTTGTTTACAAATGCGGTACATGAACATTTTTGCTGTTTTTTTGCTTTTCTGGACTAATTTTCGAATTAGCAACTTGTTTAATTTACATATATTTCGATAATGATTTAAACATCATACAAAACCTATACCCCTGTCTAACTATTATAGTATATCGTCGTCTATACGACAAATGCATACATACATTTGTACCATGATTTTAACATAAGTAAGGTAAAACTGAATAAATATGTGTGTATAGAAATAGAGGCAATCACGTTGCAGAAATTCAAAACGATTTATACACATATATTAATATCATAATCCCCTATAATCAACTGGAATATATATATACATAGTTAGAGCAGTCATGCGAATATACCCATATCGTAATTTCGAACAAAATTTTAACCATCAATATTCGCATCGTAAAAATAAATTTTTATTTTGCTGTTAATTTATAAAAATTACAAAAATAAATGTTAATTTAAACAAATCTATCAAAATGTATTCATTCAATTTACATGACACAATATTCTCATACTCTTTTTTTTTTTGTCTGAAAATCTGATATTTTCAATTTAAAACCGAAAAAGGACGAAAACATAACAAAAATGGTAATTTATAATAATAATAAAAATTCAACAAAATGAAACAAGCAGGATAAAAAAAACACAAATTATCAAGGTACCTTATGGTCATAACAATTCCAATCACAACTGCACCAATAAAAGGCCACCAAGAGCTTAATGGATCAGCATTTTCTACAATTTTCATGACTTCGTCCATTTTTAAATTTTAAATTTTTTCTTTTTTTTTGTTCCCTAATATTGATATTTTTTTATTATATTGAAATAATAACAAAAATTGTGATGATTTTACACTTTAAACACAGGATATTTTAACATTAAAATTTTTTCCGTTTTATTCATTCATTTCCATAACTACTTACGTACATACATGTACAATGTTCACCTACTAAAATGTCCATAGCTTCGAATACAACGTATGTCGTGCAACATTTGGATTATATTGAATTTTTAACATTGCATTGCACAAAAAAGTACACAACTGTATAATATGTAAATATTTTGTATTTAAATTTAATTTTTAATATTATTTTTTTTGAACATCTATAGATATTAGAGACCAAATAAATTCAAACTCTTTTTTATATTAAATATTTATTTAAAACTAAAATACCCGATTTAAATTTAATGTAATGCTAGACGTTGTTATTCTATACAATAATCTGAATGAAAAAAATCACTTGCTCTAAGTTCCCGGCAATAATCTGTGTACATCAAATAAATAAATAAATAAATAAATCTAATAGATAAAGAGTGAGGGATTCAATTTCAATAATTTAACTTGGACATTTTTGTGTGTTCTGTTCTTCTCTATAGCAAAAAATTTAAAATAGTTGGAAGAAGAAATTAAAACAAAGTGGAAAACATAAAATATTAATTTTCATATTATTGTGTACATGTCCAAAGATGAATTAGTGAGCAAACTGAATAGGCCAACTTTAGGGGTAAAATGTCTTCGCACGAGTATTACGAGTATATGTGATTTGGTATTATCAAAGCAAATTGTGGACGACAAGTTTTGTACAGCTGGGTAATATTTTATTTGTATAAAATTTGAGATTTTGCTTCACAAAATTATATGGCGAAGCATCTGTAATTCTGCCATGAGGGTAATACAGAGAAATATAAAGCAATTATGTGATCACGCAATTTATTCACATTCTTCGTATTGCTCTGTATACAAGGTGTTTAACATAAAGTGGCAAATAATTTCACGAATTATTCTTTGATCAATTTTCCTTTTTGAGCTACAGACTGTTAAAAATAATGTTACCATATTTTTCCTGCATATAAATAAATGCTAATCATTATCGGAAATCTGAATAATGGACAAATTGAATAATGAACTGATTGAATTTCAAAGTAATTCAAACCAAAAATATTTGTTTAAAATTTTACAAATCATACGTTTTCAAATGCAAATGGATCATACGTTTATGATAAGTTTATAAGTACAAATAGATGTAAAAATGGTTACAATAATTCAAGTGTTTCAAAAACAAATCGGGTCGGGCTAACCATTTATATACAGAAATAATAAGTAAAAAATATGAAATTTTTATATTTTTTATATTTTTTTATTTAAGAAATTAAAATGAAATTTTTATTTGTACACACAAAATGCTGTTGTTCAATGATAACATGAAGCGGAATTTATTTTTTAATTAATACGAGTATTGTGCACCAGTTTACAATTGTACACGGTAAAACATCAAAATTGTTTTGAGACAATTTTTCAAATGTGTTTGTAAAAATTGTGCAAAAAAAATGTATACATATTCAGTTATACATGTGCATACATAACAACTTTGCAAAATTATAAGAATGAGATTTCATGATTAATATTACTTGATATTTTGATTATTGAATTAATTGATCAAGTTTAGCAAAAACTAAAAAAGACTTCATGTATTCTTGTTAAACTTCTATCAATAAATAAAATAATATAAAAATTTCGAATTGCTTTCTGAGCCCGGTAACCTGATAGATATATGTATGTGTTTATGTAGTATTTGTTGATAGTCTCACACATATTATACTCACATCATTCTCAACCTATTCACTGAATGTTTCTCAGTATATTCTAAAATGGCATTTAAAACGTTATATTTAATTCAGTTGGTTCCTACATAAACAATAAAACAGAGAATTTTTTCATTCGTACAATACAGTACTCTTACTATATGGGAACTTGTATATGTATAACTATTTGTACAGCATGTAAAAGTAATAAAATTTCAGTAAATTTTTACTAAAATTATATATTTGTAAGTATGTATGTATATCCATGTATTGTATTATATCCAATATCTAGCATAAAAATTGTACTTTTTTTTTATCTTAACGAATTGGGAATTATATGATGCTGCATCCGGAAATTAAATTTATTAAGGCTTTATCATATAGAATTTTTGAAAACTGGTGAAAGTATTTCATCACATTTATTTTAAATTTTTTATTACAATCATTCATGTACATATATATTATGTACATGAATGATTGTAATAAATATGATGACATTCATATGTATATATATATTAATACAGGTATCCCTTGTATAACGCGATAGTTACGTTCGCGTTATATAAGACTTAGTTTTCATATAAATTTGGGGGGTATGTTCCAATAAGATGTTTTACAAAATAAAATATGTATTTAATAAGAAATAACCTATATTTCAACTTAAAACTAAAATTCAGATTTTGTTATAACACTAAAACCATAAAAATAATAACAATCCAAAATTCAAAAAACAAAATAAAACAAATTATGTATATACATACATAATATTACAAAATTTGAAAACAAACTGAAAAAAACTAAAAGTTAACAACAAACTCCATTATAATTAATCTGTTTCGCTGTCTTCAAACATCCTACTTCGTGAAAGTTGTAAGGCTTGTGGGCGTGTAATAACATCATCAGAAGATATTTGTTCAACATAGTTTTCGTTGTTGGATAAAAAACTAGTTGTGGAACCTTGTAATCCTTCGACTGGTTTTTCAACTTCGCGTTATAACAGTCCAAATTTCGCGTTATTACTGAAACCGATTTTTTTTTCAAATCGCGTTATATTGAAAACGCGTTACATAAGTACCGTGTTGTACAAGGGATACCTGTATAATATTACTTTGCATTTGCATTACATACATACGCATAGCAAAGTCATATACAATGAATTTAATAAAGTTATATAACAAAATGTGCTATGATTATTTATTTAAGTACCTACTTTACCAATGTATACTGAACTTTTGCTCTTTGCTGTTTGTCTGTCAGAAAATTGAAAAAAAAAATAAAAAATATGGAATTTTAAAATTAGTTTTATTTAAAAATTTACTACAAACTCTTCAGGAATTAATAATTTTTTTATATTGCAGCTACATATTTTGTGTGTTTTAGTAAATAAAATTATTTTCCTTAATTCCCAAACGTTTAATTTTATCACTATAGAAAAGTAAGAACTTAAAAAATTAATTAAAATTTTTCTGAACAAAAGTAAAGTTCAATTTTACCCGTTCACTCTTTTAACTTAAAAAAAAAATCATATTGGGAATTTATTTAGGGTTTTATCAGATTTTATTATACGTTACCATTAAAATTGTTTAGGGTTTAATGTAGGTTTCTTTTATTCAACGATAGTATTATAAAATGAAAATGTTTTTTTATGTTAAAAATATTTTGAATTAGAATTTTTCTGTTTTAATATTTTCAATTGTATGCAATATTTGTTATTCATGAAGATTACTGAGTAAATCGTATATTATTTGAAGAAAACCAACATAAAAAAGTATTCAAAAATTGAATAAAAATATTTTAAACAGAATACTCCGGAGCAAAAACAGAAATTAAGTAATTTAAAGTAAAAAATTGGGCCGACGAGATATGACATGCCCCAAAAGCTGATCAATTCATCCCACAGCCAAAGTAAACTCAGAAACAAATTAGAAGAAATTGTTGCAGCCGAAATTGATTTCACTGAAGACAATTATTTAAGTTTCCATTTGAGGAAGAAATGGTATTTTCGTTAAAAACTCAACAAGCAAAATTTGCTGTCAGCACATAAATTGTTGATACAGAATATTGTTTTATTTAGAACTAATAAACGTTTTTTATTCTACATCAAGTAGAATAAAGGGTTCCGTATCAGCTTTTAGATTTTGTGTTAAATTCAATAGTTAAAGTTGGATGAAAAACAATATCCAAAATTTCAAAAAAAAAAACAGTTTTTTTATATTTGAAAAAAAAGAGAAAAAGAGAAGAGCGGCAATAGAAGAAGCCCATCCCTATTTTATCGCGTTTGCAGAACTTGAAAAGTTTTTGAGCTTTCATAACAATAAATAATCACGTCTTTAGTAACTTCAGGGCTCTAGAAGGAGAGAGATAGGGCGAAAGTTTTCCTCTACTGAAATAAATTTCTAGTAAAGACCTACATATTTATAAGTAAAATTCAAGTTTTCTATCTTAAAGAAGGTAGAAGTCTGGCAAATGGGCCAACTCTTGTTTCTTTACAAATTTTTTCTTCAAAACTGCTTAAAACAGAAAACTTTTCTATGAAAAAGTAGCGTTACAATTAATACATTTTTATTCATTTCAAGTTCAATTTAATTTTTTTTTAAAAGACGTGTTTCAAATTGTTTAAGCGAAGTGTGCTTACTTGCTGGTAACTGCCCTGAAGTGTGAACTATAAACTGCCCACTTTACCTCCTTAATATGATTTCAATTGGATTTTGCGGAAAAATATTCCATGTTTCTTGTAATATTCTATTTTGGTTTACCAACGAATATTTTTTATATGAAATGCGATCTGAATACCTTTATCTAAATATTTCTTATTTGAATGTTTCTAACAATTTTTGGAGCATATGACACACTTTCTATTCCGCCAGAAATTTCCGTGGAAAATTGTTTAACACATTTTGAATTTTTGGAAAATTCTTTTGGTGCTGAAATAAATAGATGGGCTCAATTCTATTTTATTTTTAGGTAAAGTATATTAAAGATTCTTAAAAACTAAAAATGTAATTAAAACACGTTCTTTAATAATTTTCATGTTATATTTATATAATATTTTTTTTCTATTTACGAATTTTATAATACATTGTTTTCATTATGTTTTCTAGTACTTTCATTTTTTTATCATATTTTGTTTCACCTATAATATTTTATTTTAACAACATTATTTTTTTTTTCTTTTCATTCTATAAAATATTTATAAAAGGCAAATTAGTTAAAAAAGAATACAGTGTAAAAATAGAAATTTTAAATTTTTAAGTTAAAAAAATTAATAAATAAATTTTATTTAATAAATAAACTCTAGATTTTTATTACTTGTATTAAAATGTGGAAATTCATTAGCAATAATATTTTGTAGTATACTTAAAATCACTATTTTTCTGAATAATATAAATTTCATATGGTGTGCGCCTTTGATCAATTCCTAATATTTCATTTAATTCTTTCAATATGTTATTATTTATAGGAAGTGATGAATGAATGGATTAGTTCTCACATTAAAACAATGATTCTATTATGAGAATTAGCTCCACGAGATAACAAAAGTGTTACAAAATAATTCGCACAGTTTTTCTTAAATTTTTACATAGCTTTAATCAAAAGTT